TCTCTATTTTATTCTACAATTTTGTTCTTGTTTATTAGGTCTTAGATTTTTTTTTTTTTTTTTTGGTCCTTGTTACCTTTTACTAGTCGATGAGACTTTCCTTATTTCCTTTCTGCTTCTCAAGTTCGTGGAATGTAAGAACGGTTTCTAATTTGTAACTTTTTCTATTTACCAGATATAAACAAAGATGAGTGCTATGTGTTTCGGTTGTTTTGTTCTTCTCATCTTATTTCCTTACGAGACAATTTCTTAGAACTTGTGACCTCAGATGATGGTTAAATATTTCATATAACTCGCTTTCAACTCCAAATATAATTTTTCTAATTGGAATTTTAACTTGTCAACTGAGAAGAGTTGATTTGGCACTATCTTTCTAAGACTTGGACTAGTTGGATTAATTATTACAATTTGTTTATTCAAGCTCTACTTTCTCGTACCGGGGTCCGTTGGTCCCGATTAGACCACAAAAAATTTAAAAACAAAAAATAAAAATAAAAATAAAAATAAAACAGCTGTGCTTGGGGCTCACGACACGTCGTCGTATACGCACCCTGTCACCGAATTTCATTTCGTTCCCCCCGATTCTTCCAGCCCTTTGGCGATAGGCAGAGTTCTTTGCTTCTTCTTCAACTTCTTCGGTTCTCGCTCTTAAACCCAGAAGAGCCAGTGATCCAAACCATATTTACTCGCTGAAATTTCAAATCGGTGTTAGAAGTTTTTTCATTTTTTTAAACTTGAGACCTTGTTCGTCATGGGATGCTACAGAAGAGCAAAGCTTGCACTCGATGCCTTTCGCGGTTTCACAGCGAAGATTGTACCCAAAGTTGTAGCTAAAGAACCCATTTCGAGAGCTTTCTCAACCGAGTCTTCCACTTTGGCCACCAACAAAGATAAGTTTTCTGGGTTTTCTTGGTATTCTTCTCTTTCACAAAAATCAATTCCACAACTTGGATTTACCAGAAGAACACAGTACACTAGTCCCTTTCTTGATTCTGCCAAGAGATATTACTATGTCGATCGGAACAGCGTGCACCATTTTAAACCGAGAGGCCCCCGTAAGTGGTTTCAGAGTCCTAGAAACGTGTTCATTGTGGTTCTG